AAATGTTAATAACATAAACAGAAAAAAAATGAGCCGTAAGGACTGGTCGGGTTTCAGGATCCAGTGAGTCAGGGGAAAAATGCAGACTTCGCTCCACTGCCCTTCACTAGACTGTAACTTGCTTAGTTAAATGAATTTGTAATCCAGTTCCTGAGGCCATTATGTACCTCTGTAACTTTGTCCACCAACGTCCTTGGGTATGGGGAGCATAATAAGTTAGTTAAAACATGCCAGCAGTTACACACAGAAACCTCTCGGACGTAGGTTCGAATCCTCGTCACGGCCCTTGTGGTCAGCAATTTTGGGGCTGAGGCGGACGCAAGCCTCTGCCTCAGCAATATAATCAGTTGAGAAAGTTGCAAGAACTGTTGCAGAAGTAAGAACACAGGACCAACATCACAACAAGAGCACATTAACTGCAGTTCAACATTGTGTATTGAATTTGCTTCAAGCACTTCTTCGTCTAACTCTGTCCACTTATATACAAACTTTATATTGAATTTTTTTTAGATCTCTGTGTCCCATCTATGTCGTTATTTTCATCTGTGCTCCATTCTTTTACTCTCCCTAGATTGGAATTTTGCTTTTTTGTTTATGTTGTCATTTTACTTTAGAATCTTATATGTCGCTATCATGTCCCCCTCTATTTCTCTTCTACTTTGTGTTTTTTCAGGTGAATGTACAAATTTTATTTTCATATTTTATTAACATAACTATTTCGGTGCACAGTAGTTCAATAAAACACATTGTAATGGGGGTTCACATGTTGAATTTCTGTTCACTCGACATTGGTATAAACGGTTAACTTTACAGTTAGCAAGATGTGTGTAAATCACGAAAATTAAAGCAAGATAAATATGGGCGAGTAAATTAATTCGTGTTGGGTTCCCGTGGTAACATTCAGTTCCTGCACAGAAATATTGCAAGCAGAGTCGCGCCCTGCAGGAGGAGGCTTGACTGGGCACCGATCCTTATATGAACGCCACTGCTCACTCAGCAGTAATTGGGAACCTGGTTGTAAACCGATTTCTGGGTCGTGTTTAAGAAGAAACCAGTAGGGGTAAGGTTGAGGTATAGGTAGGGAAAACTCTAAGCCTGCTAACAATGGGCCAGATTCACGAAGCAGTTACGCAAGTACTTACGAACATGTACATCTTTCCTCAATCTTTGACGGCTTTTGGTTGCATTTATTAAACAGTTTACAAGCATGAAAACTTGCCAATCAACTGTTGTTATTGTTATAAACAGCCTCCTGGTGCTTCGGAACTCATTAACTGTTTAATAATTGTAAACAAAGCCGCCAAAGATTAAGAAAAGATGTACAGGTTCGTAAGTGCTTGCGTAAGTGCTTGGTGAATCTGTCCCCAGGGTCATAAGTCGTCTCCTATACTCACCAGGGTTAACAAAAAAATAGGAAGTGGGTGTAGGGTGGTGATAGTAGCAGGGTGGTGGCCGGAGCTCCAGGATGTGAGGGGCCTCCCGCTGGTGTCAACACCCGGCCCACACATGTCCTCATTATCTTAATATCTTTACCATTCCTCTACTCAACTACTGCCTCTACTCTCTTCACAACCAAGATCTTTCTCTTTCCTCTGCTATTTTGTTGTGTGTTTTGTGAAAACTTCATGAATTGATTGGCAAGTAGTATGTGTTGAAGTAGAGGCTGGGACATAATTACGCTGTGTGTACACATACATTATCTTCATCATTTAATATCTTAACCATTCTTTGAACAAATCCACAAGGGCCGTGACGAGGATTCGAACCTGCGTCCGAGAGCATCCCAGACGCTGCCATTTGTTCATTTGATGCATCACGCAATTGTGATTTCTGTGTGTGTAATTAACCATTCTTTATATCTTTAACTAGAAGGCGTACCCAGAGGTGCCCGGGTCTGTCTGTTTGACTCTTCCCCTCTCATCCCCCATTTCACCCTCTCTCACTCTCTACACTCCCTTGTTTCCCCTCTACAACCCCCCCTCCCACCCGGTTTTCTCCCCTCATCTACCCTTGTCTACTTCCTCTCAGAACATATAATCCCAGCAGCATATTCTTACAAATGCTACATTGATGCAACGTTGTACTAACGTAGTTAAAATACGTTGTGGTTATGGTGTGTGTGTAAAATTGGGAGTATTATGTACAGCTGAAAATATTTTGAGTAACTCTATGGAAACTAAACCCTAAGTTTAGATATGATAAGCGTCGATGGTATTTGGAATAAGAGCCGATCCTTCTTAAAATCGACCCCGACCACCCTATGACACTCCCCCATATAATCACAAATCATTATGCAAAGTAGCGTGAAGCTGGAGCCCCAAAACTTTTGGGACCAGATTCACAAAGCAGTTACGCAAGCACATACGAACCTGTACATCTTTGCTCAATCTTAGGGGGCTTTGTTTACAATTATTAAACAGTTAATGAGCTCCGAAGCATCAGGAGGCTGTTTATAACAATAACAACAGTCGATTGGGAAGTTTTCATGCTTGTAAACTGTTTAATAAATGCAACCAGAGCCGTCAAAGATTGAGGAAAGATGTACACGTTCGTAAATACTTGCTTCGTGAATCTGGCACCTGGCCTCCAGCTTTGCACAGAGAAACAAACACATTAACAGACACACAGACATTCTCTGTTATACCGACACAAGGTTTGTCCTTTGACACCTGGATATTCTGTTTCATCTTTTTGTTGAACTATATGATATATTTCCAGTATATTAACCCATCCTCTGTTTTATAATACTTTATCTTTGGTGAATTCTCTGTATTATCCTCATGTCTTGAGGATATCTTGAGATGATTTCAGGGCTTAGTGTCCCCGCGGCCCGGTCCTCGACCAGGCCTCTACCCCCAGGAAGCAGCCCGTGACAGCTGACTAACTCCCAGGTACCTATTTTACTGCTAGGTAACAGGGGCATAGGGTGAAAGAAACTCTGTCCATTGTTTCTCGCCGGCGCCCGGGATTAGAACCCAGGACCACAGGATCACGTGCCCAGTGTTCTGTCCGCTCAGCCACCGGCTCCCACTCATACCGTAACTTTCTATATTTATCTCAATGTTCAGTGTTTTACATGTTCCTTTAGGATTTTTGTATTCTTATTTAAAAAACTAAAAATAAACAATTGAGACTAAAGGTCTACCATGTTTTCAGTGTTACCTTCCTTGTTTACTATAGTTACTGATGTTAACATTTTTTTTAAGTTTAGTGTATACGTACTCACCTAGTTGTGGTTGCGGAGGTTGAGCTTTGGCTCTTTGGTCCCGCTTAAAAAAATTGGCGTTTTTTTTTAAATTAGATCCTAATTTGATGTGATAATGTCAATGCCAGTTTTGACGTGATATTGATATTTGATAATGATATTAATGATAATGATAATTTGAGGTGATAATGATAATAAGTGACGTGATAATGTTACATTGTTGGCGTGTGGATATAGAATGTGAAGCCTTTACCATCCTCTTTTCAGCCTTTCAGGCAAATATTAAAGGCTAAATGAAGAGAGAAGGCCCTGTAGCACAGTGGTCTATGTCTTTGTCTCACACCTTATACTGCCCAAGTTCAATCCCAGGCAGGACTGAAGTGGTTGAGCACGTTTCCTTTCATCTGATGCCTCTGTTTACCTATCAGTTTAACTAACAAGGGAGTTAGGGAAATGTTGTTGATTGTATCCCGGGGAAGGTCATTGGTTAGCTTAGCCTGGACACACAATCCCCCATCAGTATACTGGACACACAATCCCCCATCAGTATACTGGACACACAATCCCCCATCAGTATACTGGACACACAATCCCCCATCAGTATACTGGACACACAATCCCCCATCAGTATACTAGACACGCAATCCCCCATCAGTATACTGGACACACAATCCCCCATCAGTATACTAGACACACAATTCTCCATCAGTATACTGGACACACAATCCCCCATCAGTATACTGGACACACAATCCCCCATCAGTATACTGGACACACAATCCCCCATCAGTATACTGGACACACAATCCCCCATCAGTATACTGGACACACAATCCCCCATCAGTATACTAGACACACAATCCTCCATCAGTATACTGGACACACAATCCTCCATCAGTATACTGGACACACACACACATCTAACCAAATATTACTGTTAAAACTTATCTAAATCGTCAGTGTATATAGTAAGCATCAGGGGACCAAGGACGGAGCCTGGGGGAACTAGCAACGCTCCGGCCGTTAACTAAACCCTTCAACAGCTACGCGAATCAACATTTATAATCAGGTCCATGGAATAGCTGGCGGCAAGAGCAGACGCCATCCCACCGGGAATAGCCACGACCGCGGTGCTTCAAGCTCACTATAATTTATTTTAAAGCAGTAGAGATAAACGCTTGAGTGTTGAGGATTTTGTTGATTTGTTATTTGGAGTCCATATTGATCCCGCAGTCGTGACGGAAATGTTGCGTTCTCAGTTGGTTCAGGAAATGTACGCCAATGTTCTTTTTGTTAAGCAATTTTTATTTGTGGTAAACTAGTTGCATAAAGTTTTCATTAGCCTGTCTTACGCCCTATACATCATGAGTGGCTTTGGAGAAAGGTTACAGTCAGCGCATGCAGTACCGTAGCTACAGTAGGCAAACTTGGGATACTTTGCGCAGTTTTTTGGTAGTTGGGAAAACTCAGAGCGTTTGGTTTATATATTATGTTCCCGCGATGGAACACAACCTGTCCTCTCGATTAATACATCGCATTTTGACGTCAAAATCCCCCAACGGGGAAAAATATGATGTACTGGACATCATGGCGGCTTACAAACATTCACGTTTTCTATGCTTGGGTCGTTCGGTTAGGTTACGTTAATTAGATTAGGTTTGGGTAATTTAGAATACCATTTTCTGTCCGTTGTGACAAGCTAAGAGGATGAACTGGGTAATGAGCTAGGCGGCGGTGGGAGGGGCTAAAACCTGTCTATGTGACGGAGGGGTGAGGGAAGTAAGGTGGTTGATAGCCAGCAGAGACCAGCAGTGTGGTGCGAGCAGCCGAGAGAGGAGCCTGGTACCGTGCGCCTCCTGCCACTCCATCTCATGAACCCTCATCTTAGTACTCAGTGTTTTGTGTGCTCGCTTGGCTCAAGTATACCGTAGTTAATATACTGGTTGCCTTAAAGAGAAGCGGACTTCTTAGTGATTTACGGGTGACAAAACGTCTTGCGAGGTAAGTGTAGCCTATGGTTATAAACACGAAACTTTCCATAGAGAAATTAATGGAAAGTTTTCTCAAAATTGAGTTATTTATCTGTAGAGATAACATGACTGGTAGAATCACAAATGTTATCATTTGTGTCATTTTAGAAGCATTAACAAAATTAATATTAAGGATAAATGCTATCAGTCAGTTGTTTCCTGGTTTATTTTGAGCCTGTGTTCATCAGGTGCCGGAGCCGGTATTGAAGGGTTTTAAGGAAAGGAAAGAACACGTTTCCTTCCCTGAAGGACAAACTTATCCAGCTGCCTCACGTCTATAATACACTGTAATTTGACTACACAACAAGTATTATGTAACCCGGGAACCAGTTCTATAAATCTACAACCTGACCTGTTTCCAAACTAGTGATAATCTAATACAGTACTGTACTGAATGAAGGTTTGGTCAGTGTATGTTATTGTTTTGTGTTGATAGGCTATATTGATCACCTTATTAATATGTTGACCAGACCACACACTAGAAGGTGAAGGGACGACGACGTTTCGGTCCGTCCTGGACCGAATCAAGTCGATTCTATTGGACAGTTGTTTGTTGTTTTGTCGATTGTGAATGGTCCTTATTAATAACCTTATTAATAACCTCCCTCTCTCTTGTAATAGCATTTCGTACAGTTGTATATTTTGTTAGTAGTCTCGCTCTCTAGAGTATGTAAATTACGCTTTCTTAATTTGCCTTCATATGGTTGTTTCTAAATATCTAGGTTAACGTTTTCATTTTTATCTACACGTAAACAAAAATTAATATACTTGCTGAATGGAGAGAATTTAGCGAGATTATGAACGAGTAACAAATCAGAAATTCTTCTCATGTGGCTTTATATTTTGCTTTAATCTGGCTTTACAAGGACAGTAATTAGCATTCAGATGGGCTTAGGAATACCATTCAGAGATGGAACTTTTATATAATAGAGCGAGGGGGGCCCACGCATCAATGGGTCTTTGAAGGTAATTATGGGGGGGATCTGTCACGTGACCCTCGACTACAAGGACAACTACCTACCTGTGGTTCCGAGAGAGACATACACCGTTCCTGTGCCAGGTAAGTCCACTACGGGCTCACCATAGCCCGTGCTACTTGCCCCGCTCCTGTGCCAGGTAAGTTACGGGCTCACCATAGCCCGTGCTACTTGTATCTTGTTCCGAGTAGCTGAATCTATAAAAACAACAAACAACTGTGGTTCCATATCACCGTGTCTTTTCCCAGTCCCGGAGATTATAAACTCCGCCTAGCGCGGCTCTTCAAAATTTGTATTCCTTGCTCGAACCACTTATCATGGACGATAGAGCGACGGTTTCGCTTCTTGTAGGTGGGCTTTCAATCTCCGACCATCCAAGTGGTTTGGATGGTCGGAGATTGAATCACTCCTTCCATCCGATCTATCCCAGTTCATCGTCATATCTCTAGCAGGTACTTGCTATATAGTCAGACTGGCTTAGCGTTTTTTCTTGATAATTATTTTACTTGCTGGAATTCCCTAGGTTGTAGCTACCGAGTGTGTACTGGAAGGCAAGAGCCCCGTGGTCACGTTATCCAAGAATAACGTTAAATCAACATTGATACAACGTTATTAATGTTGATAAAGTATGCGAATTAACGATGCACTTGGATATTGTGCCCACTGGGAGCTGGTTTTACGAAAATAATATTAACTATAGTTATAATATCAAAATAAGGCATGTTCGATTATACTGTGAAGGACATGTAGCCTAATTCAAGGATGCTTACATCACTATAATTATACCTGTTACTACGTCAGTGCAAATGTTGTGGTTACATAGTCATTAATGATACTGTATCACTAGACATTTCCCCACAATGAACAGTCAGTGCCACATTATCAACGTATGCATTTAAGACGCTTCATCACTGCACGCATTTTAAGGCACTTCGTCACTGTACGCATTTTATGTCACTTTGTCCCCCTTTACAACGGGCTTCGAGTGGTTCATTCGTAAGTATTCAAACATTTTCAACTCTAGACTAAACACAGTCCAAATTCTCAATATACTTTCTCCAATACGGTGAACGAATCCTTTCCCACTACTTGAATGTTGCCACCATTGATATACTGTGAAACCCTATGAACGTTAAGGGAGACAGACTTTACTGGTCGTGGAATTGTTAAATTACTTAATTTTTAACAAGAGTTGAATTTTCTTGCTCCGGAATCTGATTGTGGTTGTACGTACGACTCCCGGATGTTTGTCCAGGGCTCTGGCCTTGGGAGGTATATAACCCAGGGGGTGAAAGCCTCTTGGACATTACTTTCTACATTACATTGTCGTTGGTTTTTATTTTTGTCGTGAACCTGACCTATCCTGCCGTGAACGTAGCCTAGGTTGAAAGGTTAGATTGTATTTTAAGTTTCGCACATTCATGTTAACATTTCTGGCATATCTCGTGCTGGCTATTATTCACGGGAAAGCTTGCCCGAAACGCATTGCGTAATAGTGGCTTTAGGCATTGTATGTACTAGCTCTATCTATATATCAATCCATTAATGTAACATCACTTGTATGTATGTACCTTACCTGAATAAACATATTTATTTATTTATTTATTACTATTCTAGCTTTATAATAATCTCATAATAGATTATTATTGACGGGAAGGGGGTAAGCGCCAAGCCCTTACGACTATGCACTTGGAAGGGGTCAGGATAATGATTAGGGATGGAACGGGGATAAAGGAATGGTGCCCAACCACTTGGACGGTTGGGAATTGAACGCCGACCGGCAGGAAGCGAGACCGTCGCTCTACCGTCCAGCTCAAGTGGTTGGGTATTATTGACGGGGAAAAATACGAATGTACTTCAAACATGAATCCTAGATGTTACTACTGCTCGGCTTACACCCGGCTATAAGTATCTCTGGGAATTTTCATTATCTGCTGATGTAGACCTGACCAAATGTAAACTGTCAACAAAATTATTAGCACACCCTCCGTCACGATGCTAAATCTAAAACAAATAACAACATCTCCACATATGCCGGATGCTTAATTTAAGAACTGTCCTTCTGGTCAGTCTCGAGCCCATTGTTGATGTGACGATGTGCACTGAATTTAGTAATTACGAAAATTACGAAAATGAGTTTTGGAGAACTCCTATTTCAGCTAAGCCCTGATGCTAAGAAAATAATTAGAGGGATAGAAGCCCTAAATCAGAAAATAGTAAATACAGAATATGCGGTCATATCCAATGAGACATGAATTTAGTAACTAGCTCATCAAGACTGTAACTTGCTTAGCTAAATTAATTTGGAGGTTCAGTCCCTGAGCCCATTATGTGCCTCTGTAACCTTTTCCACTACCCCCCCACAGGATGGGTATGTGGTGCATAATAAATGAACTAAACTACCATATCTTGAGGTGCTTCCGGGGTTTAGCGTCCCCGCGGCCCGGTCGTCGACCAGGCCTCCTAGTTGCCGGACTGATCAACCAGGCTGTTGGACGCGGCTGCTCGCAGCCTGACGTATGAGTCACAGCCTGGTTGATCAGGTATCCAACCATGAATACAGATTTCTGATAGTGAAGAAGCCAGAGTCGAATTCTCGGTCTCTAGTTATAGGGAAATTCTCGATATGGTCTGATTTTTCCATTATATTAATTATAAGTTGAACTAATTAAGTCACCTAAAATGAATTCGTAGTCAGATTCACTATTAACTTTTTCAACCATATTTAGATTTTTATTGGGTTTACAGTCATAGTTAAAAAAATATATAATTATTTTTCATTTATCGAAATTGTGCATACAGTATTTTGTTTAGCTGTTGATGTTCGGAAATCATCACCAGCCCTTAATTATCTTGAAATTCCTCCCTTTGTGCTCCTTCCCCTTCCCTTTCTCCTTATTCTCTTGCTCTCTCTACCTTCTTCCTTCTTTATATTTCTTTTTCGCTTTCCTATTTTTCTCCCTTGTCTTAATTCTCCCTTCCCATTTTCTTTTATCCCTCTTCCCCCTGTCTTTCCTCTCCCTTCTCATTTTCATTCTTCTCCCTTTGCTTTCTCACTTTTCATTCCCTCTCTCGTTAAAATTTAAATTTATAATATTGTACCTCTGCTTCAACCTGTTGCACCCACCTAAATTATCGTCAGACTGTAACCTCATTACAACCAGATATATATTTAGTTCCCACTGTAGCGAGGTGACACTGATTCTGTTATAACCTCAATACTGAAGTGTTTAGTATGACTATGGACTTCCATCAGTGCTGACGCTAAGTCAAGCAGGATAAAAAAATTTGGGTTAAGCAATCTACCACGGGTATTTACTTCCGTTACACCAAGCTTACAAAAGCAAGCTTACACTAACTACGAATTCTATGCAGTTTGCGTTTATTTAAAGTTCAAAAAGGAAAAGATGTGTGCTCTTTGGAATTCCAATGAACGTCCTTTGGTGCTCTATGTATGGTACTTTCTACAATTCAGGCAACTCGTCCAGAGCAGCCACGCAAGACCTGGTCGACTGCTCCAGTGCTTTCTGAGTTGTTGTCTCATGCTTATTTCTAGTACCAATACAGCTTTTATAACACGTCACCACTTATTATATAATCTTTATTGGTACTATGCACTATTTGCAATTATTGTTATAAAGACTTTATGTATTCAATATTTTAAATTAGGTTAGTATTTAAATGTTACATATTAATATATTGTTAATCACTTGAGACCTAAATCCAATGTTTGTAATCAAATATTTGCCATTGCTTGCGCAGGTCCGACAAGTGTAGAGGTACTCACTCCCGAACATCATTGACCTTCTTTATGTATATACACCGCATTATACTGAAGACTAATAGCATCCAAAACCCAGCCCGGGTTCCTAATACACAACAAATCGTGGGTAAATAATGATTTCATAAGTAAAAATCATTATAAAGCAGAAAGTCCAAGTTGACAACGTGAGGAGCACATGGCGGACGGGAAGCCAGAGAAGAGGCTATCAAG